AGAAAAATTGTATCTTACATTTTGGACTTATTCAGTTTAAAAAGCACTTTACTCACAACAATCCTGGGTGGTTAATCAGTCAGTTAATAAACATTTATTAAGCATCGACTGTGCGCCTAAGCATTATGGATACAAAGAAAAGCGAAAAAACAGTCTGTGTTCTCAAGGACAGTTTAATGGGGGAGACACATGTAAACAACTATGTGCAAAAAGTTACAGACAGGATAAATTTCAAATAACAGAAAAGGCACTATTATGTCTCTCTCTCTCTCTCTCTCTCTCTCTCTCTCTCTCTCTATATATATATATATATATGTGTGTGTGTGTGTGTGTGTGTGTGTGTATATAAAGCATTAATATTTATATAAACATTGCTTTAAGGTTTGTAAAGCGCTTTATGAATATTATCTAATTTGATTCTCACAACAACCCTGCAAGGTAGGTGCTATTATTATCAGCTTTTTACACTCAAGGAAACTGAGGCAGATAGCAGTTGAACCTTGCCCAGGTCACACAGCTAATAAGTGTCTGAGAGTGAATTTGAACTCAGGTCTTCCTGACTCTTCATCCAGGGCTCTCTAGTCACTATACCACCTAGCTGCCTCTAGAGTTGAAGGGATCGGGAAAGGCTTTCTGTAGAAGCTGGGATTTTAAGCAGTAGGTAGTACCAGTGTATTTATGATCTCCATTTTACAGACAAGGAAACTGAGGTTCAGAGATGGTTAAGTGACTGCCTCCAGCCTAGGTTTTCAGGTTTACCCATTATTCCTACAACAAATATAGCTCTGACTGGAGAGAAAGATTTGAGTTTAAATCCTGCTTCAGACACTTACTAGGTGTGGGGTCCCGGGCAAGTCACTTAATCTCTATTTGCTTCAATTTCCTCATCTGTAAAATTAGGGTGTTGGAATTAGATGTAACTTCCAGTTCTATTTCTGTGATGTCACAATTGATTTATTGATCAAATTTACACATCTCCAAAACATAAAATCTGAATTTAAATCCTGTAGTGTCTAAGACCCCTGACTCTAAGACCAGCACTTTTCCTACTATACCCAAAGACTATTCATAAAGAGATATTGGATACATTTGACCATTTGACAAGATGTCTGAAAAGCAGATCTGATAATTCAGGAACTTGTGGAGGTATCCTCTGGGCCGGGCCTTTTGGAATCTGCATTTGGCTTGTCATTCTAAGTGCTTCATAGGCTCGCCCCCTTTTGCCTTTCCAGTCTTCTTACACCTTATTCCCTACACGTAGTCTTTGGACCAGCAACACTGGCCTCCTGGCTGTTCAACAAACAAAATACTCCATCTCTTGACAGGGACTTGAAACACTCCCCCTCCTCCACTCTGACTACTGACCTTCCTGGCTTCCTTTAAGTCTCCACTGAAATTACCCACTTCTATAGGCAGCTTTCCCCAACCCCTCTTAATTCCAGTGCCTTCCCTTTTTTTAATTATTTCCTATTCATCCTGTATACAGCTTGCTTTGCATATATTTGTTTGCTTGTTGTTTTCTATTTGCTTGTAAAGCTCCTCGAGGCCAGGGACTGTTTTTTTGCTTCTTTTTGTATCCCTAATGCTTAGCACAGTGCCTGGCACATATAGGCACTTAATAAATGTTGATTGCTTGCTTGATTGATAACAACACAAAGCTGAAATACCTCATCTTCCTTGAAAGCTCAGCTTAGGTAACCCCTTCTCCATGAAAGCTTCCCTGATCCCTTCAGCTGAAAGTGATCTCTCTTGCCCCAGATTTCTGAGAGCTCTTTGTCTAGAGATGTCCTTTGCCCTCCTCATTCTCTGCCTTAAATTTATTTGTGTAAATGCCTCATCTCTTCTGAAAGAATTTCATTCCCATGCGGTTGGGGATGATGCTGTTTTTCACCTTTGTGAGCAGACCTAGAATACAGCAGGTAAATTAGAAATTTAATGATTCTTGGTAATAAAACAAGAGAGGGAAGAGGAGGAGAATATCTTCTGTCTGGGAGCTGTGTACAGCCTCTTTCATCAGAAGACTGGTCACTTAGTAGTAACATTTACAAGAAGAGGTAAAATGGACCCAGGTCTAGATTGGGTGGGAAAGGCGGGGATAAGAGTTGCTCCCTGAGCAAATGAGGATCATTCATGAAGATAACTTTTGAAACATGATGATTTCCCAAAGAGAAAATTTGTGTTTGCTTGGTTTTAATTTATTATTCATTTTAAATATTTTTTTCTCTTTAAATTTTGAGTTCCAATTTCTCTCCCTTCCTCCCATCTTTTCACCTACCCAATGCGAAGGGAAGCAATATATTATTTGTACATGTGAAATCAGGTAAAACACATTTTTATATTAATCATTGTTTTAAAGCAAGAAAAATAAAGTGAGAAAATTACACTTCAGTTTCTATTTTACCCTCTGGATTTAAGACAGCAGGGCAGTTTTCCTTGTTAACTTCTTGAAATACAATATATAAACTTTTTCTTTGATCATGGCTTTCAGGTAGTCTAATAATTCTTAACTTATCTCTCCTTCATCTGTTTTCCAAGTTACTTATTATTTTCAATGAGATATTTCACTTTTTCTTCTGCTTTTTCCCTCTTTTGACTATATACATTATTTCTTAATGTCTCATGAAGTCATTAGCTTCCATTTGCCCAATTCTAATTTTTAAGGAATGAGTTTCTTTAGTGTGATTTTGTACCTCTTTTTTAATTTGGCCAATTCTGTTGTTAAGAAGTTATTTTCTTGGAACACTTAATGCATTGTTGGTGGAGTTGTGAAATGATTCAATTGTTTTGGAGAACAATTTGGAACTACGCCAAAGGGCTATAAAAATGTGCACACCCTTTGACCCAGCAATAGCGCTTCTAGGGCTATATTCCAAAGAGATTATACAAATGGGAAAAGGACCCACATGTACAAAAAATATTCATAGCAACTCTTTTTGTAGTGGCAAAGAATTGGAAATTGAAGGGCTGCCCATCAATTGGGGAATGGCTGAGCAAGTTGTGGTATATGAATGTAATGGAATACTATTGTGCTATAAGAAATGATGAACAAGCTGACTTCAGAAAAACCTGGAAAGACTTGTATGGTCTGATGCTGAGTGAAATAAGCAGAACCAAGAGAATGTTGTACACAATAACAGCCATGCTGTACGATGACTAATATTGATAAACATAACTCTTCCCAGCCATACAAGGATCTAAGACATCTCCAGAGGCCTCATGATGGAAAATGCTATCCACATCCAAAGAAAGAACTATGAAACTTGAATTGCTATTTCTTTTTCTCTTCTGTTGAGTTTTGTTTCCTCTTTCTGATGGTTCCTCCTGTTGGTTTTAATTTTTACTTACAACACCACTAATGTGAAAATATGTTTAATAGGAATGTAAATGTATAGCCCATATCAGATTGTGCACCATCTTGGGGAGGGTGGTGGGGAGGAAGGGAGAGAAAAATTTTAAACTCAAAAGCATATGGAAGTGATTATTGATAAATCAAAATAAATTAAATTTGAAAATGAAAAAAAAGAAGTTATTTTCTGCAGTTAATTTCAACTCTTTTTTTATTTGGCCTGTTCTGCTTTTTAAAATGTTCTTTTCTTCAGTGTTTTTTTTTTGTACCTCTGTTACCATTGGGCCAATTTTATTTTTTAAGGTGTTGTTTTCTTCAGTATTTTGTGCCTCTTTTACCAAGATGTTACTTCTCTTTTCATAATTTTCTTGCACCAATCTCATTTCTTTTTTCCAGTTTTCCCTCTACCACTCTTATCACTATTTTTAACCTCTTCCAGGAATTCTTATTGGCTTGGATCCAGTTAGCATTTGTCTTTAAGTCTTTGTTGTAGCTGTTGCTATGTTGTTTTCTTCTGAATTTTTGTCTTGGTTGTCCTTGCCACCATAACTTTTGAAACATGATGATTTTCCCAATGAGAAAATTCATGTTTGCTTGTTTTTAATTTATTATTTATTTTAAACATTTTTTCTTTTTAAATTTTGAGTTCCAAATTCTCTCCCTCCCACCTTTTCACCCACCCATTGAGAAGGGAAATAATATGTTAATTATACATGTGAAATCATGTAAAACACATTTTTATATTAACCACTTTTTAAAGCAAAAAAAATAAAGTGAGAAAATAACACTTCAGTTTCTATTTTACCTTCTGGATTTAAGATATCAGGGCAGTTTTCCTTGTTAACTTCTTGAAATATGATAATTTTGATAATTTTGTAACTTCTTATGGTCAAATATTTTTTGTTGTTGTTCTTGTTTGCTCTTTTTTCCAGCCATTTTTTTGACATTGAAATTTATGTTAAAGTTGGACTTTGCTCACATAGGGGTAGGAAGGCACTATCCCAAGTTTCAGGCTTTTCCAGAGCTAGTTCTGCCAGGAGGGAGGGGATCCCCAAGTTTTTGGTGGTGCTGAGGTCATCTGATGCAGGGAGAGTGTGGTCATTGCTCTCCAGGTCCATGCTCTGCTCTTTATCCAAGAACGGCCCCTGCTTTCCTGTAGTCACAAATACTAGTGCTCTTCTTTGCCTTGAAACTGAGACCAGAGCCCCTGTTCCCTTGTGACTAACCTCCAGTGTTCCTCTCCACCAAGGCTCTGTAACCCAGAACTGTATATAGGCAATAGAATTGCCAATCAGTGCCAGCTGTATGCAGTGCCAGCAGAGTCTTTTGTAATCTCTTTCTGACCAAGTGTCTTACCTCTTTACTGTCTCTGGGCTGAGAGCTTTCAAAGGTGCTGCTGCTGTTGCTGCTTTGCATATGTAGGCTCTGAACAGCCTTCCATCATGATTTCATTAAATTCTCCTGCTGAACTCCTAAGTTTTCTTAGACCAGAAAAAAAGGTATAACCCTGACCTTTGATTGGCTCTGCTCCTCCAAAATTTTATTCATTTTGAAGTTGTTTGGAGGTGAATGTTGTGAGAGAGTTCAGCTGAGTTGCCCCTAATCCACCATCTTGGCTCCACTTAAACATTTGTTCATTTTGTTTTCTTTTTAGGGACAACATCACAATCAACAACTTCTACTGACTAAGAGCTAGTGGCCATGTCTGTTTCCAACAGCAGCAACTCCCTCCCAACTACCATATTCTTGACAGGTATTCCAGGGCTAGATCCTGCCTACATGTGGATATCTATTCCCTTCTGTGCTATGTATATGGTGGCTCTGGCTGGGAACTTAACCCTCATCTTGGTCATATCTACTGATCACAGTCTCCACACACCAATGTACCTTTTCCTCTGTCTGCTTTCATTCACAGACTTAGCTCTCAGCTCTACTACAGTGCCCAAAATGTTGGCAATCCTGTGGCTTCATGCTGGTCAGATCACTTTTGGAGGCTGTCTGACCCAGATGTTCTTTGTCCACTCAATATTTGCTCTAGAGTCTTCTGTCCTCCTGGCTATGGCATTTGATCGCTATGTGGCCATCTGCAACCCACTGAGATATACAACCATCCTCAGTCATGGTGTCATTGTCAGGATTGGCCTTGCTGGATTAATTAGGAGTGTGGCTATTGTTTCTCCATTCATCTTCCTGTTGCAGAGGCTGCCATATTGTGGGCACCACATCATGGCACACACATACTGTGAACACATGGGCATTGCCCGGCTGGCCTGTGCTGATATCACAGTGAATATTGTCTATGGCCTAACTGTGGCCCTGTTGGCCATGGGTCTGGATTCTGTGCTCATAGCAACATCTTATTCTATCATTCTCCATGCTGTATTCCATCTTCCATCTCGGGATGCACGACGCAAGGCTCTAGGAACATGTGGGTCCCACATCGGGGTCATCCTGGTTTTCTATATACCTGCTTTCTTCTCTTTCCTCACTCATCGCTTTGGCCGCCATCATGTCCCTAGGCATGTCCATATCTTTCTGGCCAACCTATATGTGTTGGTGCCACCTGTGCTCAACCCCATTATCTATGGGGCCAAGACCAAAGAGATCCAGCGAAGGATCTTGAGGCTAATGTCTCCAGGTCAAGACTTTGTTTGAATTTCTGACCAATGATGGAAATGATTACTGCATAGATGAATGAATAAATGAATATCTTTCAGGACTGTAAAAAGGTAAGAGAGAACAAATGTATGCCATCAGAAGAACTAGATTATTTCCCAGCTTTGACACTTATGAGATATTTTACCCCAAATAAGCCACTTAGCCTCTTTTTCTTATTTGTGAAATGGAGATATTAATACTTGCTTTGATTACCTCATAAGAAATATTGTGAAGGAATCATTTTGTAAATCTTAAAATGGCTGTAGAAATATCGACTGTTACTATTATCATTGATTTCATTAAGTATAAGAAAGGCCAGGTATAGATAAGCAAGAGTTTATCTGAAAAAAGATCTGGAGTTTTTAGTGGACTACAAACTTAATATGAGACAATAGCATGATATGATAACCAAAAACAAAATAAAACAAAAATTAAAATAACGTTGGGCTACTTATCATACTTTCATACCTTCATAAGAAGGTGGTAGTCAGGCCATTTTCTGCCCTGGTAGTTTACATCAGTCATGCCAGAATTAGGGAATAACATTGATAAGCCAGAGAACATTCATAGGAATTTGATGCAGATGGTGAAGAATCTGAAGTATGTGTCATCTGAGTAACACTGAAAGGAAGTGGAAATGTATAGTCTGAACAAAAGAAGTCTCAGAGGAAACAGGAGAGCTGTGTTCAAGAACTTAAAAGGCTTTCATATGGAAGACGGATTAGGTTCATTTCTGTTCTGCCTCAGAAGGAAAAACCAGAAACAATGGGTGGAAATTACAAAGGGTCTAATTTAATTTTGATATCATGGAAAAATAATAAATTCATAATAATTTAGAGTCATTCCAAAGTGCTTAGTACAATGCCTGGCACATAGTAGGCACTTAATAAATATTTGTTGAATTAAAGTAGGTCAGGCTGCTTGTCTCCAGGTGGAGCGCATTCCCTCTCACTGGAAAGCTTCAGGCAAAGGCTAAATGGTGACTCATTGGGTATGATAAGAAATGTAGACTGTTTTTTCAGGTCAGGTTGTTTACTTGCACCAGGCCTTCATTCCTGCTCTCACCTCTCATCTAGGCCAGAGGTGTCAAACCTGGGGCCCATGGGCCACATGTAGCTCACAACACTCCAAGCATGTCTCAAACCAGATGAAAATGTAATTGGGAAATACTCAATAAAATAAATCAAAATACCATCAAACTTGAATAACATTGCATGTTAAAACTAAGTCAAGTAGAGATGCTTACGTATGGATTAGCGATCCCTGTTTCTATCTGAGGTTGACAGCACCCATGATATATTGCTGGGGAATATTGTTGCCAGCTTGAGAGCCAGATGATGTTCCTTGAAAGTCTGAAGAAGGATTTTGAGCATCTCCGTGCTATATGATAATAGAAACATAGGGACTTGAAAACTAGCTTATAGTTTGGACATTATTCTGTGAGTAGTACAGAAAAACTGATGGGAAAAAACCCTCCATTTTAAGGAAAGCACTCAGGACAGCATCTCTTCATTCTTCTTCAAGCTTTATCCTTGACCCTTTAGACTTTCTGTAGATGCCACAAAAGCCAGTAAGTTTGCTCCACCACTGGACTTCTTACACTGGAAGTACACTCTGCCCAGAGATGTGTTGGAGTTTTATAAGTGCACAACTTTCTGTAAACTCCTAAGAAAGATACTGTGTTCTACCCTTTCTCTTAATGGGAAGGAGAGGGCTTCTGTTGCCTAATGATATCAGACTATGTATTTGACACAAATAATGAATAGAGTTTATAGAGTGATCATCATAGGCAATGTTCACAGGATTTAGATCTGGAGCTAGGAGGAAGCTTAGGAATTATCTAATCTAAAACTCGGTTTTACCAAGAACCACAGAAGTCAAATGTCTTATCCCAAGGGACACATCTATCAAATAGCAGAACCAATATTCCAACCCAGAGTCTTTATGAAGGGAGTGTGCTATAGCAGAAAGAGCACTGGTTATGAGGGACCTATATTCAAATACCACCCATGATACTATAAACTTTGTTCAAGTTGCTTGATTTTTCTGTGCCTCTATTGACTCAACTGTAAAATGAGAGAGCTGAAGCAGACAGCCACTGAAGTTTCCCATCTCTAGTTCTATGATCCTATGACACATAATAAGAATAATAATATCTAGCATTTATGTAGAGCTTTAAGATTGGCAAACTATTTTACTATATTGATACAAATAGCTATTAAAAAACAATTATTGGTGACATCCAGAGTTTTTTCCCTTCCTTTTCCTTATTCCCTACTGGGTCAAGCTAGTATCTGAAAGACATTGCTGATAATGAGACTGCATTAACTTTCTCCTCAATCTTGTTCGGAGACTACCCAAGTGGAGTAGTGTTTTATCCAGACTTGAGTGTATGTGTGTGTGGGTAGATCCTTTGTCTGGATTGCTGGAGGTTGGGGGTGCTCTGAAAGGAAGAGTGATCAGAGTCACATCCCTTAGCCTCTCATTAGAATAGGTCCATCTCTCATTATAACATTCATTCTTCTCATTAATTGTTAATCAGAGTTGATTGTCACCCTCAGAAATACTCACTCTTCCAAGGGCACATAAGCATTGAGTGGGATCCATGGCACTTTCAAGAGTGCCACTTACCCTTTTATTAAATTATCTGCTAGCATAATTAATAAAATGACTAATTATCCAGAAACTATGTCTCTTGAACTTTTTATATGTTAAAATATTTTATTTCATTTGATCCTCACACAACTCGGAGAGGTAAATGATATTATTATCCCCATTTTACAGATGAGGAAATGGAGGCAGAGATAAAGTGATTTGCCTAGGTCCAAGCAGCAAGTAAGTATGAGGCCAGAACTTGGGTCTTCTTGACTCGGGCATAGTACTCAATTCATCACTAATAGCTAACATTTATATAGTGTCTGTTATATGCCAGGCACTATGTTAAGCGCTTTACAAACATTATCTCATTCTATGCTTATAACAACTCTGTGGACCTGGGAAGGAGGTGTCATTATTATCCTCATTTTTACAAATGAGGAAATTGAGACAAATTGAGCCTAAGTGACTTGGACAGGAACACACAGCTAATAAGTGTCTGAGACTAGATTTGGACTCAGGTCTTCCTGACTCCAGGTCCTCTATTTGCTATGCCACTTAAATATCCTAGGATCTCTAGGATACTCTAGGATGTTTCCTTATCAGATAAGGATATATGTATGTATGTGTGTATGTGTATGTATATGTGTGTGTGTACATATGTATGTGTATACATATGTATGTATATAGGTCTTCAAATACACACACGTATATACATACACATATACCTATTTATACACATATATAACCATATATAAATGAAGTAATCCTAGACACTTGTTGAATAACTTACGCTACCTACCTACTGAGACCACTGTGAGAAAAGTGTTTTGTAAGTCATACAGTACCATATAAATGTAAGTTTATTCAATACCTCTGTTTTGCATAAGAAGGTTAGAGCAGTTATATGATTGGTCCTAGAGTCTCAGAAAGTTAGAACTGTTGCTATAATCTTCTGACTTTAAGAGCAACACTCTTTCTATCACATCTTCTCCCAATTCAGGGAGGCCCTGCCAGAATTTCTGGGGTTAAGCATCAGGCCTGGTCAGGCCTCAGCCTAGCTAAGTACTCCTGGGATCTCATAGTGATGAGGCTGTCCCTGGAGGTTGACCTCTTGGGGAGGGTGATCCTAAGCCTTCCTTTTTGAGCACAGAGACAAAAATTCAGCTCCCAAACGGTGTGTCAGCTGCCCCTCCTTCCACCTTGCCATTGGGAAAGCAATGCCCGGGGTCCACTGTGACTTCTTCAGCCCAGAACCTGTGGGGCCAGCCAGGGGGAGGGCTTCCCTTCCCTCTCAGCCCTGCTCAAGTTGTTCCGTGTCTCCTTTTCATTTTTTTTTCTCTTCCAACTTGCTTTTTGGCTTCTCTTTTTTACTCCTTCATTTTTATTCCATCTCTTTCTTCCTTTTATCTCCTGTTCATCTCCCCTCCTACTCTTCTGTCCTCTCTCTCCCTTTCTGCTATATTGAGCTTCTTCACCCTTACTATTTCCCTCCTCTCCTTTCTCTACATTTTCCTGTCTCTTTGACAGAGACCTTACTCTCTTGGTCTTATCCCTCTCTCCCTCCCTGCTCCAGTTATGGAATCAGCCCATCTTTGTCTAGACCAGATCAGAGAGGCTTCAGAACTAAAAGAACTCTACAGGGCTGCTCTTCTGGCTCAGCTTTGACAAGCACAGAATAAGGGTATGTGGCCATAACCTAGAACCAGAAGCACTAAGATTAAACTCCAGATACAACTTCATGATGGCGAGAGGTACTAGACCTAGAACCATTGGTGAAAATATGAAATATGAGTGAATTCTTTATTGAACATCTTAAAAACAACGAAAAATTATCACCCTGTTCAGGTAGGGTCTCCTGTGGAAGGAAGGTAGGATTGGATGAGATTATTCTAGGTTTCTGATTATGTCTAGAACCAAAAACAAAAGTAGATAATAAATCTCACTTGATTTTAGATCAAGGGATGAGTATAGTAAACTGTATATTGGCCCAGGAAGAAGGGGAAGAAAAGAGTGGCCCAATAAGATACAATAGGTATGTGTGGGGAAGCTTGAGTCTCAGCTCCCTTAAGGCTGTATGGGGAGCACATAGCACATACAGGAGGGGGCTTTAGCCTTTTAAGAACCTTATTTCTCAAGTGTTATCCCTCAGTGTGCCCCAGATATCCTTCTCTCCTGTCACAGAATGAGCCCCCTCTCTGCTATCACCCTCTCTGGACTTTGAGAGTCTATGCTCTTGGCCTTGGGCTGTTTAGTGTTTTAAAGGAAGCTGTGGTTGTAGCCAAAAGCATGCTGAGTTTGGAAGCCCAGCTGTGTGTCCGAATTCCACTGTGTCACTTTCTATATGTGTGACTTTGAACATACTACTTTAGCCTGTTCTGAGACTCATGTGTTAAGTGAGG